CAAGTCGCCAGGAAGGATGAGCGAGAGGCACATCTCGAGCGTTTCTTTTCAAGCAGTGTTGCATTTCAAACAAATCGGGACGCAAAATTTCATCATTTGGCTGTGGCGAAGCCCTTGGCAGCTCCACACGCTCCTCTGTGAAGGGAGGCCAGCCCTGGCCCCAGCGCACCTCCCAGCTCCAGCCAGACACACAGGACATTCCCATCGGGTACCACAGCAGGTCAAGGCGGCTGTTCTTGCAGATGTGGAAGTGAAGTACACTCTGAAAGGGTTTTGATGGAAAATGCCGTGTAAAACCTTTAATAACTTGAGTCTGCTGTGGCCCAAATCCTAAGGTTTCCCTCTATCCTTCAGATAGTATTCCCTGGATCAGTCTGCATAATTTACTGGTTATTCACCTCCCTGCAAAGATGACTGCATCTATTCAAACCAACTTACTCAGTCAGACCAGTATTCTTGTGCAGAACTTTTTATTAAAAAGAGAAAGGGTTCTCTGCAACAAAAGGCAGATACAAAGCTAATCATAAAATTCAACTTTTCAAAGATTGCAACAGACCAGATGTGAAGTGTTGATTGTAACAAAGACTTACGTCTGAAGTTTTGAAAGTCTTATTCTCACACCTGACCACACAGCCAATTATGACCTCTTAACTATAAAAGACTGTTCCGTTCAGAGTTACTGGCATACTACCAGGTTTTAACCTGCAGCATCTATGATGAAGCTGTGGATAATTCAAAATAATGTTACTAAAATGTTTAGATTCCTACAGAACCTTTCACATCTCACAGCCTTAAGTTTTCTGTTCCAGTTCTCATGAACTAACGTGAAAAGTCATGTTCCCCCAAATATATAAAAAGCTCAGCTTAAAAAAACCCATCTCTCTCAGGTGACATAAAAAGAATTTCAAAAGAATCCCATAGTTTGGCCTCAGAATTCATACTTGAAAAATATCTTTACAGGGAAAAAAATGTAAAAAAAAACAAACATGAAGGATTACCTTTGCTTTGCTTTGTGTGCACATCTGTACTATGGACACCAGTTTACAGCAAGTATCCTGCCCTAGTGACTATTTCCCTGCTTGCCAAAACCAAACTGACACTGGGGAAGAAATGATGTAAGCTTGATCAGTTACCCATCCTGGAGCATCAATAATGAGTGACAGCTGTCAGAATCTGAGGTACATTTCTTCTGCAGTACCAAGCTGCAGGCCTCTCCCCGCAAACTGATAACAGACTAATGAGTACCATTAAGAATGAGCCTGATGTTTCCCAGCAGGTCAAGGTGACCAGGACTTCAGAGAGATGCTGGAGCCATTTCATGCAAAAAGCTGTCTGTTCACGTAAATAGCCTCTGCATCAGTGCCATATACAAGGCATGGTCCCAAAACATCTAAACTATTCACAGACAAAGTCTGATTTGGAATTAAGTTGGTGATATCTATGCGGTCTTTGGTAGGATCGCTGGTTAGCCAGGCACTTACTACAGATTGGTTAATGGTATTGTGGGAGAAATAGGTCGTACTTTTTCCTCCTGAAAGGAAAGGGAA